GTGAGTCCGCGCGGGCCGACAGCTCAACTGCCTGCTCCCAACAGGCGCGTTCAATGTTGGTGCAGTCAGATTTGGGCTTGATGTCCATGCTGGGGATGTCGGAGAGCACGCTGATTGCGGCCAGCCGTAGAGCCTCCTCTTCCGAGGCTGCAAGCTGCAGAAAAAGAGTACAAAGAAAATGTTAAACTTGTTAGAGTCGTTTACGCTGGCAGGACTGGCATGCGGGAAAGGAAAGGACAAAAATTAACACAAGCAAGGACCCGAAGATGCTAGGGTTGAGTCTCGCTAGTGTGAGCATCACGTCATTGGACAAGTTTTCCGGGGAAAAAATAAAAAAGATTTGGAGGGTTTTTCAGCCGGGCGGCAATGCAAATGACATATCCCTTACTTTGTTTGAAGGATAGGACGGTCGACGTGCTTTGTTAGATAACTACATTATTTCTAAATCAGGGACGAGTCACAAGAATCGCGTTACCAGACCTAAGGAGGCTTTATCTACCCGACAAGATTGCCAACCAAAGATAGGGGCTCCGAGACACACTCCATGCAAATAAGTAAAGTTTTTTCAGAGCGCATAGTGAATATTACTCTAAAATGACTTAGTGCATGGCCTAGCTACTGTGCGTTTTACTCCTCAAACGTCTGCCAGCCGCAGTGTACAGATTTATTCACGGCGGTCCACAAAAATACTAAAGTGAATCTCCAGCAACCAGACAAGAAGGCACGGTGAGTCAAGTTTAATTAGTGTTTTGCTGGCTTAACAAATGCAAATATTCGAAAATGGCTTTGTCCAAATGACAATTTAGCTTGTGTCATCCACTCTTGGTCAGCATTCGGTAAAGAGGGTTTGTAGGGCTTGTAAGCCCAACGACAAAGACAGGCTGGAAAAAGCTTACGTAGGGAGTTTTGTACGATGAGGCATGAGAGATCATTTGAAATTTTAAAAAAACATCGACACAAGCTTACCTTATAGGCCAGTTCCCGCCTTGGAATGGTTGGCATGCTTGGAAGGTAATGTTGAAGTCTGTGTAGAGAACGGCAGGAAAATCATTAGATTTGCAAAGTATGACGGCTGTCATCGCGCACATGGCGATTATGTAAACATGAAGGTTATATAGCTAGAGTTGTCACTGTTGGCAACCACCTAAAGCGTGACTTGGAATTGTGGGACATGGTTAAAACAACAAAAATAATCGGGTTTACGATGACAGTTTGACTGTCAAATCCGACGAGGTCCACCGTATGCTTCACAAGAATGCGGCTACGAGGAAAGCCTTTCGTAGCATCTACCACACTCTCGTCTCACTTACCCATCTGCGCCCGGTGTCATGACAGAGTCAAGAACACCGAAGGTGGGATAGGGCGTAGGTGGTTGGTTGGCGCGGCGTGAGCAGGTGTCTGGATGTGCAATCACCTCCCTGTGCGGAATTTTTTATGGACGCATCCCCCCACTAACGCCTGCAGTGCACTGATCTGGCCCTCGCGTTGGTCAAACGCGTTTACCGATCAGACCGTTGTAGGGACGACACCTGATAGGGGACTACTGGAAATCGGTTAACTGGTAAAAACTAATTTTCCCAACTGCTACTCAGCTTTACGAATGCCAAGGTCAACCAGATTATGCACGTTTACGAAGAAATTAGGCGTGACTGGGCGTTTTCAACCACAAAAAGGCGAGTAGAAGAACTATAATTCGCAGAAATTACTGTGATGTGACTGCATTAAATCAATGCGACCTATTACCATGGACAAATTCCACGGCGCCGTCAAAAGACCCATTGACACAGTATCAAGCAGCATAACGTCAGAGTGATTATTAACTTACGTGCTATTTCCAATGGGCAGCTTGCCACGCATAGCCGGCATACCAAGGGAATTGGCGCCCTGGCCAACAATCGTCAAGGGCTGTTGATCAGCGGACATCGTACCATCCTTGTTAAAAGCCAACAGGACTCCACCACTGGCGCCGGAATCGGCCA